CCATTCACCTGACAACTCCGGTGAAGATGATTAGTTTCACTGTCAATGTGGCCATTTTAAGTCTACTTTGTCACTATTAGCACCACAGCATTCTGAGAACCACCAGTTTGATCCAGAGAGAAGCCGAACTCGTAATTCTGACAGATGATTTAAAAGGTAGGTTATTAAGAAATCCAGGCCAGGCTCAGTGGCTCATGCCTGTAATCCCAGCACTTTGGGAGGCCAAGGCGGGTGGATCACTTGAGGTCAGGAGTCTGAGACCAGCCTGGCCAACATGGCGAAACCCTGTCTCTACTAAAAATACAAAAATGAGCCGGACATGGTGGCACAAGCCTGTAGGCCCTGCTACTTGGGAGGCAGAGGCAAGAGAATCTCTTGAATCCGGGAGGCAGAGGTTGCGGTGAGCTGAGATCAAACCACTGCACTCCAGCCTGGGCAACAGAGCAAGACTGTCTCAAAAAAAAAAAAAAGGAAAAGAAAATCCAAAGTGATAATGAGAAGTCTATTCAGCATCATCCTGCAGTGGATTATCAAATTTAAAAATCTTAATTGAGGAAACAGGTGTTTAAAATAATGTTCTGGCAACTATCAGGAACCTGTTTTCAATATAGGCCTCAAGTTTTAATTAAGTATTTAAGGTGGTTTCTTGAAAACAAGTAAATAAAATGCTTCATTAAAAAAAAGTTCCCAAAGTTCAAATGGTGTGAAGACTTATTTAGGCAAAAGGAATTTAAAAAAAAAGAAGAAACAGCTTTACTTTAAAAAAAGAAACAGACTTCTTACCTGTTAATTCTAATTCCTCAAGCAACTCAAATCCCTTTTCTATGAAAGAAGAAACAACTGTGCTTTAGGACCTCTTCATTCTCACTAGTAAAGCAGCAACCTCTAACTGATGCACTTACCTCCAGTCCTGTCCTTCTGTGATCCCTGCCTGACAGTCATCCACGCAGCATTCCCAGTGATCCTGTCGTAGTGCAAATCTGATCTGTAGTTGTTCAGCTTAGTTACTCTGGTAGCCAGTGGGCTAAGTCTGGCTGGCAGATTTTTTATTTCAATGCCTTTGACCAGGTATGCACCCCAAGCCCCACCACGCACTATAGTATTTAACTGCATTCATGTGGATTCATGTTTGGCCCTATGAGATATCTGAATTTTCCAACCTCTGACCTACAGTATACAATCCAAATACTGCAGCTGGTGTGATCTTTCTAAAATGCAAATGAGGTCAGGTTTCTGCCTTGCTATGCTCAAAAAAACAGGCCAAAACCTCTGTCTTCATAGAGCTTAAAGTGCTATGGAAATGAAGCAAGGGAGAGAAGAGAACATGTGGTGAGGGCAGGGGAGCCTATTTCAGATAGGCTGGTTAAGGAAGACCGACAGAGATGACGGCATGTACTATAAGGATTTCAAGGAAACATGCACTCTAATCAAGGAGTGGGACAGAGACAGTAGAAGGTGGGAGGGCTGTCCCCACCTATTTTTTCAGTCAAATCTTCGTTGTTTTTCAGGAATCAGCTCAAATGCCATTTTCCAAGGAAACCTTTCCTACCATTCCCAAGTGGAATGAAATTCTTCCTCCCATACATTCATATGCATATCTCAGCTATACTTTCATAATTCTGTCATTATTTGTGGACGATGTCCTCAAAAATATTCATTGAAAAAAACTATCTGAAGGATGAACAGGCACATATGATAAAGCACTCTTGACGAAACCCCCTTACTGCTTTCTCTAACAACAAGAGATGGTTTTTGGGATGTATTCTTCAGAAAGAAAGGGGTTTTGGAATCAAAGTCCAGGTTTACATTTCTCATGTGAGTGAAGTTGAACAAATTCCTTAGCCTGGCTTAAGCCACCATTTATGCATCAGCAAAGTGCTGGAAGGACCAAATATGAAAAGGCACAAAGCCCTAACTTGGTGAAATAACATAGTTGGTCCTCAGTAAACACTGCTTTTCCTTGCTCTTAAAACTGCTTTCCGTCATTTAGCCGCCAAAAACAGGTATTGCCACAAGAGGGCACCTTTAGCACAGGGGGAAAGGCATGGCTGCTTTGCCTCCTCAGATTAAATCAACCACCAGCTCATGCTTAAGTTTTAAATCCACAGTGGATGAAACGTTGAATGAAAAGTAACGTTTGACAAGTCTAGAGCGGTGATGAGTTTGGTACTACCAAGTCTACTACAGACAAAGAGAAATGAGAACCTAGCATGGTGGCGAACAGCAAAAGTGTTTGAAATCAGGACTGATTTGGGGTTTGAATGCAGGTTCCCTGACCACACTGGGCAAATGTGCCTCTCTGAGCTTCATCTGTAGATGCCAGGCCTCTGCTAGAGAGAGGATAGGTACTGGCCCTAGTGAACTCAGTCTGGCTTGATGGATGGATGAACAATGGATACATAGGCCCCAAGAGATGAGAACTGTAGGAAAGAAGAATTGAAGGCACCTAGTAACTGCTGACTACCTGTGGATACACAATGGTCCCAGCTCTGTACTTTCTTCTCTCAGCAGTGCCTCATCTATAGAGTTGCCCAATACTGAGAGCCTATGCTTTAAGAAAGCCAAGTGAGACAAGAAGCTATCAAAAAGATTAATTCTAATTTCAACAAATCAGAAAAAATCAGACTCTAAGAGGATTTTTTTAAGTTGATTAAAACACATGTGTTAAAAACAATCTCTTCAAAAATGGTGTTGGGAAAATGAAATATCCACACGCAAAAGAATACGACCCTTTACGACATATACAGAAATTAACTCAAAATGTATTCAAGATCTAAATTTAAGGCGTAAAATTACAAAACTCACATTGGATTTGGCAGTGTATCTTGGATATGCCATCAAAAGCTCAGGCAACAAAAGTCAAAGTAAACAGCTGGCCTACACAAAAATTTAGAACTTTGCTGTGCATCAAAGTCAATGGATATAATCAAAGGAGTGAAAAGGTAACTTGTGGAATGAGAGAAAGTATTTGCAAATAATATATATATCTTGTAAGAGGGCTGGGCACAGCGGCTCACACCTGGAATCCTAGCATCTTGGCAGGCCCAGGCAGGCAGATTGCTTGAGCCCAGCCTAAGCAGCAATGGCAAAACCATCTCTACAAAAAATTAGCTGGGTGTGATGGTGTGAATCTCTACTCTGCTAACCAGGAGGCTAGGGTAGGAGAACTCCTTGAGCCTGGGAAATTGAGGCTGCAGTGACTGTGATCATGCCACTGCACTCTAGCCTGGGCGACAGAGTGAGACCCTGTATTAAAAAATATATATATTTAACCACTTTATATATATTTCTCCATCTATAGATATATTTAACCCCTTCAGATATAGAGATGTATAAAGATGTATTTGTATACATATGCAGATATCCTATATCTAAAGTGGTTCAATATGTATTTACAATATATACAGAATCAAAAATGTATTCAAGATCTAAATTTAAGATGTAAAATTACAAAACTCTTAGAAATCAAGAGGAAAGCTGTTAAATATTTAATTTTTTAGAGATATATACCTAAGGGGGTTAAAATCCAGAATATAAAGAATTCTTACAACTCAACAACACCTCAAGCATATGAAAAGATGCTCAACATCACTAATCATTAGAAAAATACAAATTAAAACCAGAACAACATTATCACCTCACATCGATTAGGATGGCTACAATCTGAAAAACAGAAAGTAATAAGTGTTGGTGAGGATGGGGAGAAACTGGAACCCTTATGCACTCTTGGCGGAATTCTAAAATGGTGCAGCCATAATGGAAAACAGTCTGGTGGTTTCTCAAAAATATTAAAAATAGAATTACCATACAATACAGCAATTTCACTTCTGAGTACATACCTAAAAGAAGTATAAATGGGATCTTGGCTGGGTACTTTGGGCACGCCTGTAATTCCAGCACTTTGGGAGGCCAAGGCAGGTGGATCACCTGAGGTCAGGAGTTCGAGACCGGCCTGACCAACATGGTGAAACCCCATCTCTACTAAAAATACAAAAATCAGGCAGGCGTGGGGGCACATGCCTGTAATCCCAGTTACTCCGGAGGCTGAGGCAGAAGAATAGCTTGAACCCGGGAGGCAGAGGTTGCAGTGAGACAAGATGATGCCACTGCATTCCAGCTTGGGCAACAAGAGTGAAACTCCATATAAAAAAAAAGTAGGATCTTGAAAAGTATTTGTACACCCATGTTCACAGCAGGATTATTCCCAAGAGCCAAGAGGTGGAAGCAACCCAAGAACCTATCAACAAAAGAGTGGATAAACAAAATGGTATATATACAATGGAATATTATTCAGCCTTAAAAAGGAAGAAGATTCTGACATGTACTACAACATGAAATAACATCAAGGACATTATGCTATGTGAAATAATCCAGTCACAAAAAGACAAATATGGTAGGACTCCACTTACATAAAATACCTACAGTAGCCAAATTCATAGAAACATAAAGAATGGCAGTTACCAACAACTAAGGTGAGGGGAAAATGGTGAGTTTCTGTTTAATGGGTATAGGTTTTAGCTCTGCAAGGAAACGTTCTGGAGATTGGTTGTACATCAATGTGAATGTATGTAACACTACTAAACTGTACACTTAAACATGGTGAAGATGGTAAATTTCATATTTTACCACAATCATTTTCTTTAAAAAAGGTTTAATATGCTGCTCCCTCTGACACACCTTAATGTGCTTCCACCTCTGTTGAGTCTGCTTATACCAAAATGTCTCTACTTGATAAAGTAAAGCTACTCAGAAGCTTAGATACCTGATTATGCAGTTGAAATATCCTGAAAACAGAAAGATTTAGCATTTGTTTCCTTCTCATTCACCAGAAGTATGCCACAAGACACTGGATATCCAGTCATATGTACTATTCATGCAAAGCATTTGTATAGAAAACAATTATTTTCCACATATGGGATCTCAATCAACGGAATGCCAACATCTAAAATATGAGCAGACTTCTGGCTCTGGATTATGCAGATACAAGGGAATTTTAACACTTGTTTTCAATAAAAAGTATTTATTTTACACCATTACAAAAATATTTAGGCACATAATTTTCATGTTTATGTCACCTGATTTACATACCTCAATTCCTCAGTACCTTTTAACACTAAAATGGTCATTTAGTAAATAGATTCTAAAATTAAAAAATACTGTGACAGGCTAACAACTGTAGACAAATATCAGTTGATCCATCAGCATGAGAAAGGAAACACTTGTGAAAAAAATAATCTCTAAAAACATTTTTGTGAAACAATAAATCTAACCAGTAGATTTCTCTTAAAAACGTATTTTCAAAGAACAAAGCTTTAAAACAAAAAAACAAAACTGCCACACTGTAAACTATCTCCTCATACCGTGAAGCAGCATCCTGAAAGTAAGACCTAGAAGATTGGTTTAAAGAACAGTGATGGTGCCAGGGACTCACTATATATAACAACTGAGACAGACCTGGAAGCAGGGGCATCATGGAGTCAAGTGCTTTCAATTCAGAGAGGGGAAAAGGAATGCTGGCCTTTGCAGGAGCCATCCTAAGGTGAAAAGCTGAGAAAGATTTAACTGAATTGTCATTCTAAAATGTAATCATCTTCCATTAAGATAGAAAATAATTATTCTAGCCAGACACATGGCACACACCTGTAATCCCAGCACTTTCAGAAGCTAAGACAGAAGGGTTACTTCAGGCCAGGAGTTCGAGACCAGCCTGGTAACACAGTGAGACCCTGTCTTTATTTAAAAAAAAAAAAAAAAAAAAAAAAAAGGTTTGGGGCAGGAAAAAGAAAGAAATGAGCCAGGTATAATGTGGCACATGCCTATAGTCATAGCTACTTAGGAGGCTAAGGCAGGAGGATCACCTGAGCCTATGAGTTTGAGACCGTGGTGAGCTGCTATGATTATACCATTACACTCCAGCCTGGCTGGGCAACAGAGCAAGATCCTTCTCAAAAAAAAAAGGAGGGGGAAAAGGGAGAAGAAAATAAATAACTTTATTTATTAAAGGAAATGTACCATCATAATATAAAAGCAATTTTGTTCTTTTTAAAAAAAATAGGTAGAATCACCTGCATCACATAATGGTCACAATTGTGTCCAGTAGATATTTTTTAAAAAGACAGTGAACAGAAACTTGTTACCTAAGGATTCTAGAGGCAGTGAGGTACAGGGTCATGTTTTTCAGGATATACCATATTGCCCGGCCCTCTAGCATTTACAGAGCATAAATTAAGAATCCTGTTTTGCCTCGCATCTCACCATGAAATAATGACATGGTAGCCACATTTGCTGAGTGCCTAATATGTACTAGGCATTGTACTAAGTAGTTTCATATCCATTATCTCATTTATTCTGGATATTTTTCCCTCAAAGAGAGAAAAATCAATTACAGTCTTGTTCAATGAAAGAACCAAAATTACAGTTTTGGAAAAGCAAGACCATGTACAGTAGTGGAGGAGACCTTACGCTACTTATAGAATTCTAAGAACTGTGTTGCTAAGAGCTAGAAGATTAATATGAATTATGAAAGTCATCTCGGATTTTAAAAAAATGCTCTAGCTCTGTGGGGCACCCCTAAAATCAGTGATATTGATAACTATGCAGGCAGCTCTTGTTTACAAAATCACTGACTCCTTTCATCTGTCTCCCTTCTCCCACTTAGGGTCCAGGTTACCATGTCCGGCTAAATAATTACACACTCCTTGAGAGCAAGAACCATGCCTTATCTTTTTTCCAGTGCTTAGCAAAATGCTTGGCATACAACAGCTACTTAATCTTTGCTCACTGAAAAAGGCTGTAAAGTAAGGCAGGGCCAAAGTCCTGGGGTGCCACTTCAAACCAATTCAATGTGAAACTTCACTGTCTCTCAATGAGGATCCTCCATCAGCTTTACTGACCAAAACCCTCCATGGATTCCTGATACAACAGGACTACCAAAAGCACGTAAATGTACTTTTTTTAAAAACTAGGTACAAACTGGAGCCTATAAATGACTGACTTATAAAATCCACAGCCACATGGGACAATTAAAACTCAATGAGACATGTTGGCAATGTGTAGCCAGGCTAACTAGGGTTATTCCAATCCATTTAGCATTGATTAGATTAGAAGCAGATTGGTCAAAGAGGACTTCACTTACATTGAACAGGATCCACTAGTCATAGAACTTGTCTTTTGGAAGACAAATTTGGAAGACTGCTCATCTGTTTCAATGAGAAAATTAAGGATTTAACTCTGTATTGCTCTGTTTCTCCCAGGAGGTAGTTAGCAGGACAAAGAAATTCTGCCCAGTAAATATCAACCATGAGGCAAAATCCAGACATTCTGGGAGATGCCACAGTGCCAGGTAAATCACCAGTATAACATACCATGCCTGCAATAATCAAAATACAAACTCCAAAAGACTACTCTTGTCTCCAGCGTGCACAGGCTGCTCCATCTTGTATTGCTGGTTAGCAGCTGAAGGAGGCATCCAGGAAGCAGCACACAGACAGGGCAGAAGCTGTAAGTTGCTGTACTGCTCTGGTCAGATAGAAGTTTCCACATAAGCCAGGGCTCCCAAGGCACAGAAGCCTGTCACGGGCATTTAGTGAAGGTATAACTACACATGGTTTTCTCAAATACTCCTAAGAGGTGACAGATCTCCTAGGGAACCTGACTCCCAAGAGGCAGTTCAACTCCTGGTGGGGCTCTAGCCCAACACCTGTTAAATACACCCAAAAGCCTTTCATGAAGAAATATTCTATAACAAAAATTATTCAAATTTCCCTCCTTTGTGTTGCTGACGAAAGGAACAGAATCACTAAAAACAGCTCTCACTATGCCCTTTCACTGTACCTAGGCAAAACCAGGAAGTGTTGGCAACATTTACAGCTAGAAAGAAGGGCATTACCAACTAAGGTCAGCCTGGAAGTGAGATAAGGTTCCAGGACAGGGTAACCTGTCACTCTTGCTGATCTGAAAAGTATGCTCCTCTCTTGACACCAAATTTAATCAACTGCTTGCTTTTTTGAAAAAGCTCAAGTGAACTCAGCTAGCATCTATTTCCTTACTCCCTCAGAGGGGAAGGGCAGTTAATCAAATGGCAGCATAGTTCAATAAAAAGGACATGAGTTTGATGTATTAGCAAGTCACCTTTCTCTGAGTTTTGTTTTCTCATTGGTAAAATAGGGAGAGTAAGACCCATCCGACACAAGATAATGTCCTTCACTCCCAGTGGAATTTTCTCAGATCAGAAGATGCTAGAAAAAAGTGAGTCTAAGGCTCTTAATGGAGCTTATAACTTGGGAGCTGGCAACAGGCATAATTCTAGGAACACAGCACCACGAGCCAGGCTTTAATAAAGACAAACCAAAGAGAAAGACAGGAATATGAAAATGATCTCAATATAAATTTTCAAATTAAAAAAAAATGAAAACCCTAATTGTTTAGGTCAACAGAGTCCAGTGGATTCCAAACCCAATAAGGTACTAGTGTGTGCCTTAGTACAAAGGTGCCTAATCTCTCGCACACTGCACAACTGGCCTGAGCAAACACACTAATCCCAAAAGTCAATGGATATCTCTGAGTCAAGTCACAGGATTATATTTAACACCTCCACCCTCCAGATTACCCCAAGAGGCAATTTAAGCAATTCCCATTCACAGCTGCTCTCCCAAAATGCAGCATTGGTTCTGAGAGAAGTTGGCAAGCTCAGTAAGTCATCCAAGGGGCCTATGACGTAGGTGGGAATGTTGAAAGGAGGGAAGTTTGCTCATTGCTCATGTTATTTAAGAAGGAAGGTGATGGCACTCTAACACTGAAACTGACAGAGAAAAACCAACCCTTGACAATACCAAGATGTCTAACCAGCCTTTCCCCTCAAACCAATAGATTCAGAAATGTGGGACCTCATCATATTGATACAAAAAGCAACCAACCAAAGGAAGGAGGCATGGGAAAATAGACTTACCATATGACATTCTCACTTGGAGAGGGAGTTAATGCTGAGCTACACTGGTTTACAAAATGCAGCTCTTGTACCTCATCTCACATTGCATTTGGACTCATGCTGTTGCAGGGTAGGTAGGCAGGTACTTTTAATCCAATTTCCAGATTTGCGGCTTTTGAGTGCTACAACAACTTACTCCTAGTGACATCTTCTGAATCGATTAACAGAGCTAAATCCTCAATCTTACCTCAGTCACTATGGCAGCAGTGAGATGTTTCAACTACCTACACAAACATCTCTGTATCCCCAGCCTTTAGCACAATGCCTGGCACATACACTTACAACATTTTAGTTGAATCAATAAATCAAACAGATGAATAAATGAGTAAAAGGCCTACTTCCTCATGCCCTTCATTCTCCCCTTTCTACACAACAAAAAAGAACATATTTCCAAGGAATGCACTCTGCTCATCCCATGAATGGCAGGGAAGCCAACATAGATAGCAATACACTTCAAAGCCCCAGATATTTTTAGGGTGCCAAAGTTGTTCTCTTTGGCAAATGCAATGATGACATGAAGACAATGCAATCATAAGAAAAAAGATTCAAAGAAGAGAAATTTCACATATTTGTCTGCATTTCCAGCAGAGGAAAGGCTAAACTGCCTCCAGATGCAGCAACAATTTGAATGAGGAAGCTCCAGTTGGAAAACATTATATATGCAGCTCTCAGGGACACCTGGATATCAAATTATGAAATAAAATACTTTCAAAACACTGATGTTTCACCATCGGCATAGAAGAAAAATAAATTAAAAAGCCCAGTACATTTTCCAGTCTGATATAAATTAATTCAAACAACGTATTTAAAATAGTCAATTATAAGTTTCTCTCATCATAAAATTTTAAAAGGCAGCAATCAATCCTCAGATTGTACATGTGCAAAGGAATGGTATTTCCTCCATAATCAAGACACCTCAGTGTCTCTGTAGGAATTGCCAGTGTTCTGAGTTGATTAAAACTTAGGCCTATGTAGATGAAGCAATCCTCTGGTCACACTGCTCCTTTCCCCTTAACATCCAGCTTGTTACTAGCCTCTGACTGCTTGCTCAGCTGCTCTTCAGTGAAAGTGATATAGGAATACACCAGGCTCCCAGCAATGCTGCAAAACAGAAAACCACCATTAGAGATGGAGGAAGAGAGGGTTTTAGGTAAACACTCTATTTGGTTAAAAAAAAAAAAAAAGGCCGGGCGCGGTGGCTCAAGCCTGTAATCCCAGCACTTTGGGAGGCCGAGGTGGGTGGATCACGAGGTCAAGAGATCGAGACCATCCTGGTCAACATGGTGTAACCCCGTCTCTACTAAAAATACAAAAAAAATTAGCTGGGCATGGTGGTGTAATCCCAGCTACTCAGGAGGCTGAGGCAGGAGAATTGCCTGAACCCAGGAGGCGGAGGTTGCGGTGAGCCAAGATCGCGCCATTGCACTCCAGCCTGGGTAACATGAGTGAAACTCCGTCTCAAAAAAAAAAAAAAAAAACTTACACCAAAAAATTAGATAAGGGTAAAATTTCACAGTGGGGAATTGTACAATTCATACAATGGAATACTATGCATCTATTAAAATGGTATAAAATAAAAACAGATATCATATTAGATTTTATGAGACATCTTAAATTTTTAAGAGAAAATATCTCATAAAACATCAAGCATTGTCTAATCCCATTTTACTTAAATGAACATGAATATGTACATCAATATGCACTGGAATAGACAAAAGTCTGTAAGGAACACACCAAGAATATTAACAGTGGTTACAGCTGGATGTTAACATTACAGGTAAATTTTTACTTGTATTTTTGCATTTTGAAAAACAGGCATTAAGAGGAACCATCCCAAATTTGTAAGTTAAATATGCAGACCCTAGGAGATTCACAGAGCTGATTTCTCTCTGACTAAAAGCAAGTTCACAGTGGGGGACTTATTATCTGAGCCATCAGCCTATGACAGGTGGTTGCTGGTACCCCTCACTTATCCATCGCAACCTACCACCAGGAGGGTACACTCTTTGGTGACTGATTACTCAGTCCATTCTCTGTGGGGACCTCAAACTCACCTAGGATACACAGCCTCCTGTCCTACTCACTAAGTGGAAAGTAGACTGGAGGAGCTCACAGATCCAATCACTCCTGGCCTGCCCTCCCTGGCTCTTCCACTGAAACTGCCACCCAAGACTCTCTTGGTTTCCAGCCAGCTGGGTGCCTGACCTGGGCTCAAATTCTTCTGCCCTGGGTTTGGCACTCATCTATCGTCTGACCACTTGATTCACGAACTTGCTGCTTATTTGAAATTAGTTCTGTTCTCCTCTGGGCTTTGACATCAGCACCTGACCAGTGCAGAAGGGTTAAGAGATGCCGAGCTCTTGTTCCCACTAGGAAGAAAGCGGGATCAGGCACTGGCGCTTGTTCTTCACTGCACATGCTCACATAGTATTAGCCATTGTCTGAGACCCCAATCAACCAAAAATAAAGCCTTTTCCAATCTAACCTTCCCAACCAGATTCTTCCTTTTCCTTATCTGCACGTCACAGCACTTAAGAGCAAACAAATTATTAACATCTACATGTTAGGCATTTCATATACATTTCCTGTTTTTGCAGTATTCCTGCAAGGTACAATATCCCTCCAAGGTGTCCATTTTATAGATGAGGAAAGTCCCAGAGTCATAAGGTACCTTGCTCAGGGTCACAAAGCATTCTAATGATGGACCAGAATAAAACCCAGGTCAGTCTTTCTCCACTCCAACTGCTGCCTCCCTTATGACCCCTGCGCCACTGGATATTAGTTATACATCCTCATTTTGTCCTTATCATCTTGTTAGTTTCCCATGGCCTTATTCTTTTAGCTGTACAGTCTCTGGCAATTGGCCTGGCACTTTTTAGCAACACAATAGGTAACTGCTGAACTGAGTATCCCCTGTCACCCCACTAAAGGGCCTCATGAACTGAGTAAGACCAGATAATTCTTAGGCCAATGTTCATAGAGCTTCATCTTTTCCTTCATCTAGTAGCTTTTTCCCATTTAATTTTTTTTTTTGAATTTGATGACTCTCCTAGAGGTTCACATGTATGTCCATTCACATGACAGTCAATTTCCCTTTACCTCCAACCCACCCCAAAACAAAGTAGAAGGGCTGCCTCTCCTTTCTTTCATCCTGCGTTTCTCTAGCTTCTCCTTCCCAGAACCTAAAAAACAAAAATGCTTTCTTATTTTTCCTGTTAAGACAATCTTTGTTAAGACAACCTTTGATGTTCATATTAAGCCTATTTAAACTGGTTAGGAATACTGGGGAAGCACAGGATAGAAGAAGACAAAGAATGTCCTAGAATTTATTCCAGGCATAGCCCTAATGATAATGTCAGACCCTATACTCCCAGCATAGTTAATGTATTGAAAAAACACTGACTCTACAGTTAGGTCTTGGTTCAAATCCTGAATATACTATAGGTTGAGTATCTCTTATCTAAAACGCTTGGAATCAGAAGTGTTTCTGATTTCAAATTTTGGAATATCTGCTTTATATTTACCAGCCAAGCATCCAAATCCCAAATCTGAAATATTCCAACAAGGATTTCCTTTGAGCGTCTGTCAGCATTCAAAAATTCCAGATTTTGGAGCATTCTGGATTTTAGATGTTCAACGTGCACTAGCTATGTGACCCTAGGCAAGTTAATTTCTCTGAGATTCCATTTCTGTATTAATCAAATAAGAATAATGTTATCTGTCTAAGCTTGTCTATGGATTAAATGAGATTACATAAATAATCTTCTCTTCATTCTCTTCTCCCCTCCCTTCCATGTCAGCCGACACTCACAGACCAGAGGGGAGATATACTCCTGACAAAAGGTAAGCTGTTACAATAATAAATATCATACTCCATTTAAACTGCTATAAAAATACCATAAATGGTGGCTTATAAACAACAGAAATTTATTTCTCACAGTCCTAGAGACTGGGGAGTCCAAGATCAAGGCAGATTTAATGTCTAGAGAGGGTTCTCTTTCTGATTCATAAACAGTACCTTCTCATCAGGCTCTAGGATCTCTTATATAAGGGCACTAATCTCATTCATGAGGGTGCCAACTCCATGACCTAATCATCTCCCAAAGCCCTACCTCCTAATATAATCACTTTGGGAGCTGAGAGCTCAACATATGAATTTTGGAGGAATACAAACATTCAGACCATAGAGCAAGGAGACATAACATTATGAAAGAGGGGGCGCACTACTGCCACAAGGTTGTAACTTGAGGCAACAACAAAATATTTTTAATTTCATCTTTATTACTGACTTGATCATTATCAACTATAAATATTCAGAAAGGGCAATTCATGAACCACCTGAAGAGAAAGGAATATTCATCAATGAGATTACTATGCATTATATAGTGATTAATAAATGCTTTGGAAAGGAACTATAAGTTGCTCTCTAGCAGCTTTGGGGAAGGGGGAATTTGGGAGGAAGAGAAAGGGAAAATGAAGAAAAGCCCAGATTTGAAGGGGTGAAGGGTTATATCTGAATTTTTATACATCATTACCAAATGATTCTAAATCAGGATCTTCTACTACTTCAAACAGAGACCCTTTTACTAATCTATTGGCCTCATAAATATTTACATTAAAGCTGATATCTTCTAGTACTCTGAAATTGGTGTTAATATATTAGATCATCCTAAATATTCATTTTTAAAAAGAAGAACCCCTGGTATTAGAAATGGTCAACAAACTTTTTCTTTTAAAAAGTTAAAACATGAATATCAAAAATAAGGTACAAACATTATGCAAGCCTAGGTTTATGCATTTAAAAAAACTTTCAAGCAATGTTTTCATCTGTCTAATCTTCAAACCATAGCACTACCAGCTTTTTTTTTTTTTTTTGAGACAGAGTCTCACTCTGTTGCCAGGCTGGAGTGCAGTGGCACGGTCTCAGCTCACTGCAACCTCCACCTCCTGGGTTCAAGCGATTCTCCTGCCTCAGCCTTCTGAATAGCTGGGACTACAGGCGCATGCCAACACCCCCAGCTAATTTTATATTTTTTGTAGAGACAGGGTTTCACCATGTTGGCCAGGATGGTCTCCATCTCTTGACCTTCTGATTCACCCACCTTGGCTTCCCAAAGTGGCACTGCCAACTCTTAATTCACAGAGACCTGCTGTGGCAGACACAGCTGGGAGACAACCAGAAAAAAAAGACAAAGCTACAGTTCCTGAGACAGGGACGTTGTTAGTTAGAATACTGCAAATCTGACTGGAATGTACCAAACTGCTTCCAATCTATTGACTCTACTAAATCTACTTCATCTGCTCTGATCCACTTTTGATCTTCAAAAGCAATACAAACACAGTCTACTTCTCCTAAACTTACAGTCATGGACATATTCATTAGCCCCCAACAATTAGATATCCATTCCAAAAATACAGACTACAAATGCTTTCAATATAGCAACCTCATGGCCAGGGAACAAGAGTCCTAATAGTCCAGGCTATTTCCATCACATCTCATCACTGGCATGTTTGTTCATGTGTCTAGGCAGCTAGCTCTGCCTCCCAGATTAGACCCTGCCTTCTGTGTGTCAAATAAGCCAATCTATATCAAAACCTATGAACCAAGAGTTTGACTTGTACTGCTATTTCCTAACAAACAAAATTCCTGCCAAATAATTGAAACCAGGTTTCTGGGTACATTCTTCCTACAATGACCAAAGACATCTTCACTCTCCATACAGCAACTCTCAGGAAGTCTTTTCCCATCTTCTTCCTCACTAGCCTAATACAGCAGAGCTGTATTGCCTCTGTATCTACTACCTTTCAAAACTTTCCAATCTGAACAGAGAGAAACACAAAGGTGTCATAGTGTTGAATAAAGAGAATCTAACTTGCACTCTGCCACTTACAAAGCTCTATAATGTGGGGCAAGTTACTTAGCTCCTTAGAGCTTCAGTTCCCTCATACCTGTGAAATCGAGACTATAATACCATTCTTACAGGATTGAAGTAGAAATTATATTACATAATTTAATTATATGACAGTATGTTATACATATTAGCATGTTATGTTATAGATATGTTATTATACGTTACATTATGTTATATGTATATTAGCATATTATGTTAAATTATATACTTAAATTATATGAGACAATAGTTCATTTCACAATGTTAAGTAGCATGCAGTGGCCACCCAATAAGGATAAAACGGCAGTAAAAGTCAAACTCTTGGTCAAAATGCTAAGGCACACCAGGGGCTGATATCAATGAACAGTAAAAAGATGAAAGGGGTTTTGGCAATTGCTGCTTCTCTTCATCCTCATGGCTGCAATACCCCATTTGCCCAGAAAATCAAGGAGTCCAAAGTTCAATAAGACATTCCTGTTTTTGATCATCCCAACTAGGTATTAATTGTATGGCAAGTAAGTAAGTTTTGACCTAACCTCTACCATCTGCAGTCTATTAGTGTCTCTCAGAATGTCTTCCTAATTGGGCACTCATTCTTCCTGTTATGAGACATCTGAGAGGCACCTCACACTCGGTTACTAACCTACTTTTCCAGTGTTACCCTTGTGAAATCCCTCTTAATCTAACCACACTGGAGAGCCTACTGGCCGCTCTCCCCAGTCCTCATCCAACACCTGCATTTCCACCTTCATGCTTTTGTTTGGTCAGGGTAAATTTCCTTGAGAAGGTAACATCTGAGCAAAATCTTATAGGTATAAAAGAGTCAGCCATGCAAATAATCTGGCAGTATATTCCAGGCAGGGAAAATATTCAGTCTAAAAGTTCTGAAGAGGGAGCATGCCAAATATCCTAGAGGAACAGCAAGGAGGTCTATACAGATGAAGTAGAGTAAGGGAGAAGAAGAGAAGCAGTGGCTAAAGTTAAAGAAGTAAACGGGCTAGATCTAGTGGGGCCTTGTAAGGACTTTGGAACTTCAATAGTCATGGGTGGAGAGTATGGGAGCATTAAAAGAATGATATATTCAGATTTACCTTTTACAAAGAATGTGTACTGCCTACTCTGTTGAGAATGTATGGCAAGAGAGGGAGGTGGATGAGTCAAGCCAGGCATAAAAGTGTATATTAGGGCAATAATCTAGGCAAGCTGGTAGCTTAGATGAGTATGAAAGCAATGCTAATAGTGAGAAGAGATCTTCTGTTGGATAGTTTCTGAAGGTAAAGCCCATAAAATTTGCTAACGCACTGGATATTAGATATGAGATAGAAAGGTCAAAGACAACACCAAGATTTTTAAATGGAGTAGCTAGAAGGATGGGGTCTCCATCAACTAAGATGATAGAGACTATGGGTAGTGCAGACTTTGAAAGAAAGAAAAAGAGTTCAATTTAAGACATGTCAGCAGGAAATGTCATGTGGTCTGCTAGCTAGGCAAGTCTGACTGGAGAACAGAGGTCTGGCCCAAACAGAAATTTGATCATTTTTAGGCATGTAAACAATATTTAAAACCATAGGATTCAAAATTCAAGAACTGCAAAAGATCTTTCAAACAATACAAGTAATCCCATTCACTGATGAAGACATGTAAGATCTAAAGAAAGGTAGTAACATGTCTGAGGTCAGGCACACATCAAACAATTGTTTGTTATTCTTCTTTAGCCCTGTATTTAGAGAACATTGCACTGGCAACTAGCATAATAATTAGAGTGCTTTCAAGGCTAAATAAAGGGAGTTCAACTTCTAGAAAAAATTCCCCAAATATTCTGCATGGCATATAGAAGCATTTTCTCTCCCCACAACCTTTTTTTTTAGGCCAAAATGCAGTGCAATCACAGCTCACTGCAGCCTTGGCCTCCTCCTAAGTGATCCTCTTACCTCAGCCTCTCAAGTACCTGGGACTACAGGCGTGCACTACCATGCCCAGGTAATACTGGTATTTTTTTTTGTAGAGATGGGGTTTTGCAATGTTGCCCAGGCTGGTCTCAAACTCCTGGGCTCAAGCAATCTGTCCACCTCAGTCTCCCAAGGTGTTGAGATTATAGGTATAAGCCACCATGCCCAACATCTCCCCGCTTCTTAAAAAGCATTATGTAGAGACATTAAATATGTAGCACAAAAAAGGTACTCCATAATGTTTATTAATGAATAAATTTTCCATCAATATAGTAGCCTAACCTTATTGTGAAACTATCTGAATATCCAATCCCCAGTTTTCAATTTAATTAAGTACTTTTACTTACCTGATATTTAAGCCAATGAAGTTTGTCCACGTGAAAATATAATCTCCACCAAAAACCATTCCAATATAAGTTATTAATATATTCTAAAAATAAAAATAGTAATATACTGTTACATAGGTTTAACTGAGTTTCTTAAATATATATAAAACTCATCCAAATATCTATCCTTAAAATCCAAAAGCAAATAAAAGACAACGAAAACCCACCAACCCTAATAATAGTATAAGCAATCAGTGACATTAGCCTCTTCCCAATCTATTTCTCCAGAAGATAAATGCTTTTGCCAAAATTGAAGAAAACTATCAGCAGAATGGGAGAAAATATTCACAAACTATGCATTGGACAAAGGTTTCATATCTGGAATTGATAAGCAACCTAATTCAACCAACAAAATACAAATAATCCCATTAAAAGATGGGCAAAGGACATGAACAGACATTTCTCAAAAGAAAATACACATGCAGCAAATAAATATATGAAAAAGGCTCATCACTAATCATCAGAGAAATATAAATCAAAACCACAATGTGATACCATCTCACACCAGTCAGGATGGCTATTATTAAAAAGTCAAAAAACAACAGATGTTGGCAAAGGTTGGGGAGCAAAGGGAATGCTTATTTATACACTGTTGGGGGGAATATAAATTTAGTTAAGCCCCTGTGGAAAGCAGTGTGGACATTTATCAAAGAGCTTATAACAGAAGTACCATCTGACTCACCAATCCCACTACTGGGTTATATCCCCAAAGGAAAATAAATTGTTCTACAAAAGAGACACATGTACTCTTATGTTCACTGCAATACTATTCCCAACAGCTAAGATATGCAATCAACCAAGATGCCCATTAATGATGGACTGTGGTACACACATATCATGGAATACTATGCAGTCATAAAAAAGAACAAAATCATGTCCTTTGCAGCAACATGGATGCAGCATGAGGCCAAACTAACATAGGAACAGAAAACCAAATACCACATGCTCTCACTTGTAAATGGGAGCTAAACACTGAATGAATGTACATGGATACAAAGATAAGAGCAACAGACACTGGGGGCTGCTTGAGCTGGGAGCGTAAAAGGGGAGTGTAAGTAGGGAGACTACCTGTTGGGTACTACGCTCGCTACCTAGGTGACAGGATCATTTGTACACTAGGTCTCAGTGACACATAATTTACCCATATAACAAACCTGCACATGCACCTCCAGAACCTAAAATATCTTTGCCTCTTCTTCCAAAATGGAAAAAAGGGAATGGTGGGGACTTTACCAATATATTGACTGTTTTTAGAGGAATCTTCCTTGGTATCTTAAGAAAACACATGAGAAATCAAGGTATTATACTTAAAATCACTTCTCCTGACACTCGCAGGTGCAAACATCTTCTGGCTCCCTTTTAATTATCTTAAGACCACAAAAACAAAAAATAAGTTTCTAAAATTTAAACTAGAGGCTGAATATCCCTTATCAGGTCCCAAATGCTTGAGACTAGAAGTATTTCAGATTTTGTAATATTTCCATTACACTTACCAGTGTTGTATCTTAAATCCAAAAATCCAAATCTTCAGTGATTATTTCCTTTGAATATCATGTTGGCATTCAAAAAGTTTTAGACTCTGGAGCAAGCGTTTTGGATTTCACATTTGGAGTTGCAGGAAATCAAAATATTTTACCCCCAAATATATTTCTTTAACATACAGTATTTTTTTTTTTAGATGGAGTCTCACTCTGTTGCCAGCCTGGAGTGCAGTGATGCAATCTTGGCTCACTGCAACCTCCGTCTCCCGGTTCAAGTGATTCTTCTCCCTCAGCCTCCCGAGTAGCTGGGACTATGGGAGCACATCACAACACCCTGCTAATTTTTGTGTTTTTAGTAGAGATGGGGTTTCACTATGTTGGCCAGGATGGTCTCGATCTCCTGATCGCAGGATCCACCTGCCTCAGCCTCCCAAAGTGCTGGGATTACAGGTGTGAGCCACCGCACCTGGCCAACATACGGTAGTCTTAGATGGTCGTCAGAAAGCCAATAAACAGAAGTAGCTCTGCAAAGCTGTCTTTTGTGAGGGAAATTTACATTTGTAAAAAATCTACACTGACTGCAGTCAGGCCTTCCCTTGTCCAGATCTAGGAAACATTAACTGAGAGTCTGACATCTTTAATGGTCTAAAAAACCATCTATCATCTATTCTTTCTAAAAGCTGCTACCTGTGAGATTTCATCTGTATAACAAGACCACCTTTGCTAGCCAAGCCTCCTCTTCTCTCCCTCCTATAACCTATTTTGCCCAATCTAAGCCCCCATTCTTTCTGTAACTTCAAGATAGTATGTAAGCTTCTATGACCCACTAGGAGGTTGGGCAGTCACTCTGCAATATTCTCCATATACACATTAATAAATTAGATACGTTTTTATTTTACTAGTCTGTCTACGGTGAGCTGATTTTTTTTTTTAATTTTATTTTGGGCTCTGGTGTACATGTGCACATCCTGCATCCTGTAGGACTGTTGCATAGGTACATACATGCCATAGTGGTTTGCTGTCTCCATCCCCCCCCCCCCCCCCCCCCTCCCCCGATCAGGCATTTCTCCCAGTGTTATCCATCCCTCCCCATCCTCCCTGCCCACCCTCTACCCCACCCCCACTTTCCCTCCTCTCCACCCCCACACCTAGCCCAATCGCCTACATCAGGCATTTCTCCCAGTGTTATCCCTTCCCATCCTTCCTGCCCACCCCCTCACTCTGCTTTCCCTCCCCTCCATCCCCACACCTAGCCCAGTGAGTGTTGTTCTCTTCCCTGTGCCCAAGTGTTCTCACTGTTCGTCACCCACCTATGAGAGAAAACATGTGGTGTTTGGTTTTCTGTTCTTGTGTCAGTTTGCTAAGAATGATGGTTTCTAGATTCATCCATGTCTCTACAAAGGACAAAAACTCATCATTTTTTATGGCTGCATAGTATTCCATAGTATACATGTGCCACATTTTCTTTGTCCAGTCTATCATTGATGGGCATGTGGGTTGGTTCCAGGTCTCTGCTACCGTAAACAGCACTGCAATGAACATACGTGTGAATCTGTCTTTACAAAAGAGCATTTATAATCCTTTGGGTATATACCCAGTAATGGGATTCCTAGGTCAAATGGAATTTCTATTTCTAGATCCTTGAGGAATCACCACACTGTCTTCCATAATGGTTGAACTAATTTACACTCCCACCAACAGTGTAGAAGTGTTCCTTCTTCTCCACATCCTCTCCACCATCTGCTGTCTCCAGATTTTTTAATGATCGCCATTCTAACCAGTGTGAGATGGTATCTCAATGTGGTTTTGATTTGCATTTCTCTAATGACCAATGATGATGAGCATTTTTTTCATATGTTTGTTGGCCTCATATATGTCTTTTGAAAAGTGTCTGTTTATATCCTTTGCCCACTTTTGAATGGCTTTTTTCTTGTAAATCTGCTTTAGTTCTTTGTAGATTCTGGATTTTAGCCCTTTGTTAGATGGGTATATTGCAAAAAAATTTTCCCATTCTGTTGGTTGCTGATTCACTCCAATGATTGTTTCTTTTGCTGTCAAGAAGCTCTTAAGTTTAATTAGATCCCATTTGTCTATTTTGGCTTCTGTTGCTGTTGCTTTTGGTGTTTCTCTGACCTATTAGTTATCATAGGCCTCTAGATTAGGCCTATGAGACACAAAGTAAATTGCTACAGTGTAAAAGGCCAAAAAGAAACTTCAAAATTATTTTTCTAATAAAATGCCCTTTGAGAGAACCTTCAAAATTATGTCAGCTTCTAGGCCTAAGGATGAAGACAGAAAGTTGCCACAGAAAGGATTTTTTTATTATTTGAAGGGAAAAAAATAAAATTAGGTATCATTTAACAACAAACAAGTCCAGTAGGCAACTTAGGAAAGTGTATAATAGGACCTCATTCCAATACAGAGTCCAGGGAGAAGTTGGGTTAATATATATAAGTTATCCAAGGAACTTCAGAAATGAAGGGGACAGAGAATCTAAACCATGCTGCTCAAAATCAGAAGTTGGAAAACCTGTAGGTATAAATTAGGATATCCTAAGCAAGGTTGGCTATCAAGAAAAGACACCAACGTCTTCAAAAAAGAAATTATCAGGAAGCACTGAAGACTCATGGTAGCTCAAAACTAAGACTGCAATTCTCAAACTTTAGTATACCTGACAATTGCTTGGAAACCTTGTTAAATATAAAGATTTCTAAGCTTTACTCTAGAGATCCTGACTTAGTCTATCTGGGTAGGCCTTGGAATTTCTACTTTTAACTGGTTATCCTAAGTGATTTTCCCACCATGCTGAAGAGAAAAATGAATGCTGACCTAAGGATTTGCAGGGGTTTCTCAAGCACAAAAGGAAGCTTAAAGTCCTCTGTCAGAGGAATGGCTGAGCTAAATGGGTTATGACTGGGACACTAATGACAGAAGCTCCACTGTGGTCTGTGAGACTTTGACCTTGCAAGGGTATCAGTGGATTCCCATCTGTCTGCAGGTGCAAGCCATCCTTCAACACCGATACCCTGCACCAGTGAGAAGCAAGAGCAACAGTGAACTAATCAGACATTTCCGTTTTTGCCTCCCTATGAAGTTTGAAAGTAAAATTAATCATCCTGGAATGAGTAAATCCATGGAGTTCGTGTAACTACTGTGAGGAGGAACATATATCAAAAGTATAAACTTTATATGAACAAGAATGATTTTATTTGTATCCCATGTTGATAATGATAACGTACACTAAGAAACTCCAGGCAAATAGGTTTACTTATTAAAATAAAACATAGGCTTTCCTGCATCATCCCTCTCCTTAGCTAGAAACATGGCCTATTTCTCACATTCTCACTGCTCTTAAGCTGAAGACACAAGCCACCACTTTGCTCTTGAAGCATTACAAAAACCAAAATATAGCTAGAGCTAATTTGGGGCACTAAAATTGTCCCAGCCAGCCCAATTCCCTGGCATACAGATTGTCTCTAGCTTCCTAAAGGAATTCACACAATTGACTTATAGCTTAATTTGGAATTCTATTCACAAAAAATCGTACAATTTTGTGATCTGAATTCACACTTTCTGGACTTTTAACTTGATCTAGTTTCTAAACTGAGATCAGGTGGGCACTACTCTACCAAGACTACAAAGATAAACAGCAGAGCAGTAAAAACTTGACCTCTGAAACCCCTTCTCTCACTACTGAGTAATGGGGCATCAGAAAGGATGTCACAAGGGTAACGGCCCTCTCTTTCCCGTATGTTAAGAACCTACCTCTCTCAGTCTCGCCTTTTTAAGGAAGCAGGCCCACTTGGCTAATTCATTTGTAATTCGAACAAGCTGCGGCCTCCTGAATCTTAAAGCACTAGAATCAGAAAGTCAGATGAAAGAGGCCTCAGGCTTCAAGCCACCGACTTTAGCTCAATATTCAAGTCAACTTGGCTCTCCTGGCTGAAGACAAATTAGTCTCCCTCAAATAAAATGTATCAGGAGGAAATGAGATCACTGGAAATGTCAGACACAGCTTTCAAAAGTGAGCCATCTAAGGTTTCACTCAGGCATAGGAAAACTCCCCTGATTAGCTTCTGGCCAGCATCCTTTCCCTAGAAAACAGCCAGATCTCAGAGGGGCAGAGAACAAAGCAGTTCTCAGTGGGGGGTTACAGAGACAGGCTTATCGCTACCAAGCTGTTAATCTGCCCTCTCATCAGAAACAAACCTAATTCTATTCCTTCCTTCCTCTATTTAGATAATATATTTTCCTTTTCCCATGCTTCTCAGAGCTAAGCTGCCTGCAAGTAGAGACTATGCCTTCCCTGCATTCTTAAAGACTGTTTCACAAACTATCACCACAATTTGTCAAACTAAGACAGTTAAGTGAGGAAATAACAACTTGGTTCTTAAGGCCATAGCCAGACTCTTAGAGGAACAACTTTCGAGTAACGCAGGTACCAAAAAGATATCAGCAATTTTCTACTTACCTTAATACATCCAACTATTGTAGTTGTAAGAGCAGAATTATACTGCGTGCAGAGTACCGTGGCATACATTAAGATAAACCTAGAATGAAGAAGGATGAGGTATAAAATCCAGTTTCTTACTTTATAATAATCTCTAGCCAAGATAAACATCAGTGTTGGCCAACCCGGCACATTCTAGTCACTGACCAGCTATGAATTTTCCCCACCTCACTGCTTCTTATCCAGCAGCTTCAGAATTTTTAAAATTTCCCTAAAGAGAAACATATTCATCTCCTTATCAAGTGTTTTTCCTTCCTGCCCTCATCAAAACCCTGAACCATCACGAATAATCATGAGTATTTTTATTAGCTCATGCTTCCTACTAATACACCTAAGCCAGACAGACAGAAAGCTCAGAGCTCACAGACCCTAAAACTCAGTTGTGCACCTTCCATGAGGACAACATGTCCTCTGGGCTAGGATGAAGGCAAAAGAGATCCTTAGATATGAAAGAAACCAAATTAAAGCTACTTTAAGAGAGAATATAGGTTCACTTAACAACTAAGTGGCAGCAGCTGGAATGCTCTGATTTACACTGAGGCTTCTGAGCCTGGCTTAGTACCAAGGCATCATGTCAACTTTATTTTGAAGCACCTGCTCACTATGTGCCAGATCCAGTCACAAATAGCAACTAAACTGACAGGCTGAGGGAAAAAAACACATTAGAGAAATACGGAGGTGAGGAGAAGGGGCATGTTTGCAGGTACCCTCTCATCCTTTACATACTCTCTTCTATGAGGAAGAAAACATGGTAAGGAGGGATCAGTCTGCCCCAAATTCAAATGCTGCCACTGCCACCTACAAACTGTGCAAATTTAAACAATTTACTTAATTGTCTGAGCTGGCTTTCGCACAGGTAACGGCATGACACTGTCGAATGGTCAGTATAGAGATAAAACTACATAGTGCATATTGAAATATAATGGTGCTTATTAAACAGCAGGTTATCAGGTAAATTGTTTCTTTATCCTTCTAAGGTATCCATTCAGTAGCTAAGAGCACATTCCCAAGGGCTGTGAAACCACCTGAATCTGGAGACTTAATTATCCTAGGCTGACACACTCAGGAGATCTAATAAGATACTGAGAAATGAGGAAGGCAAATTTCTCTAATCTATTTCTTTAGGATAACTATCTACTAAGGAGGTAGCAAAGGCTTACCCCATCACACAGGAGAGGGTGAACTGCAGAAGAAAGAGGGTGTCAGCCCAGCCTTCAAACTCCATAGCCTGCAATACACAAGAAAGCATTAAATTTTAGACTAGACCTTCAAAATCAGCTATCCCATTTTAAAGGAAATCCTTCTATGAGTCTGCCTCCAACACGGACACAGATACAAAGAAAGACACACACAGGTATACATTTCCCTGAATCACTCCAAGGATAGAAAGTGATGTTCAAAGAGTTCATGTATATAGAGTTGAATCAGTAAATAGTTGCATACGATTTTCTCCCATCAAAAATGTAGCGTGGGGGGGGTGGTTTGTACTTCTCACTATCGGGGCAAAGAAACTGGTATTTCCTTGAAGGCACAAGCCACATTTGGCTAATCTCGGTTCCTTCAGATGGCTATTAATGTGCTAGTACTAAAGACTTTCTCAAACACTACAATATGTTTCCTTTCTGTAACATGTGAAAGCTTAAGTACAGCCTTAGTTATACAAATTCAGCTGAGGTCATTTCAAGGAGAATGATTGTTTTAAAACAGTTGATTCTAAAAACAAGGTTATTTTGTGTTGTTATTGCTGTCTGTGTTAAGCCAAAGGAAAGGAATGAAGATAAATGAAGGGTACACTGATTGTCTCATCTCTTGTCCAAGAGAAATGGATTCTCAAGTACATAGTTGTTTTTGCAATAAGAGTTTGATAAGCAAATGTGAGAAATATTCCAACTTTTATCTCTGCCAACCTGTCCAGCTTCAACTTTTGCAACTTCCAAATAAATCTCATGGTTCCAGGGCTCCAACAATACTAGGCTCCCTGTGACTTATAAAACTTAACATACAGTTTCTTACTTGCATGCCTTTGCCTGGAATGTCCTTCCTCTCAGCATTGGTCTGACTCCTGTTAAGCCAACAAATTAAAACTCAAGGCTCCCTTGTGAGGCCTTCCCTGATCAAGTACTCCTTCCTTTGTGCCTCAGTACTCTTCTCTAGAGTTCTTGTCTCTCTGAACTGTAAATCTTTCTATACCATGTCTACAGACTGAGCTCCCTGAAAGGAGGACCGACATCACATTTATCTAATCATATTTCTAACAGTGCTTGACAGATATAGACAGTTTGTTTACAGTTCTTTGTTGAGGTAGAATACATGAAAAATAAACTCATTTTAAGTGTTCAACTCAACGAGTAGTCACCAATGTATAATCATGTAATCACCCATTACAATAATGATAGCCGGGTGCGGTGGCTCAAGCCTGTAATCCCAGCACTTTGGGAGGCCGAGGCGGGTGGATCACAAGGTCAAGAGATCGAGACCATCCTGGTCAACATGGTGAAACCCCGTCTCTACTAAAACTACAAAAAATTAGCTGGGCATGGTGGCGCGTGTCTGTAGTCCCAGCTACTCAGGAGGCTGAGGCAGGAGAATTGCCTGAACCCAGGAGGCGGAGGTTGCGGTGAGCCGAGATCGCGCCATTGCACTCCAGCCTGAGCAACAAGAGCGAAACTCCATCTCAAAAAAAAAAAAAAAAAATACAATCATGATAAAGAAATCAACTGTTTCCAAAGTTCCCCCCTCCCCATTGACAGTCAATCACTCCTCCATTTCTAGCCCCTGGCAACCTCTGATCTACTTTTTGTTACTACAGCTTTGCTGTTCAACAATTTACTACAAGTGGAATTGTATAGCATGTACTCTTGTGTCTTCCTTCTCTTTCACTTGGCATTATGCTCCTAGGACTCTTCCATGCTGTCTATATATCAGTAATTCATTCATTTTTACTGCCAATTAGTATTCTATCTTATGGGTATACCATAATTTGTTTATCTAAACATCAGGTAATAGACATTTATTTGGGTTATTTCCACAAGTTATTATGTAACTTGTACCTTTGGATACAAGTCTCTCAATAGACATATTTTTATTTTGGGTAAATTTTATTGGGTAAATATCTAGAAAATGGGATTGCTGGTTCATTTGGTTAAGTGTATTTTTAACTTTGTAAGAAACTGCCAAACTGTTTTCCAAAGTAGCTACACAATTTTGTATTCTCACCGGCACTGTATGAGAGCTCGCACTGCTCTACATTCTCACCAACATTAGAACTGTTATAGTCCATTCTCATAAGTGGGTAAGTGGTATTCTGTAATTGTAATTTGCATTTCCCTAAAGACTATCGAGGTTCACTATCTTTTAATGTGGTTCTTTGACATCAGCATTTCTTCTTTGATGAAGGGTCTGTCTAAATCTTTTGCCAATTTTTGTTGTTGTTGTTGAGAAAGAGTCTTGCCCTGTCACCCAGGCTGGAGTGCAGTGCTGCAATCTCAGCTCACTGCAACCTCTGCCTCTCCGGTTTAAGCAATTCTCCTGCCTCAGCCTCCCGAGTAGCCGGGATTACAGGTATGTGACACCACACCTAGTTAATTTTTGCATTTGTAGTAGAGTCGGGGTTTCCCCAAGTTGGCCAGGCTGGTCACGAACTCCTGACTTCAAGAGATCTGCCCACCTCAGCCTCCCAGAGTGCTGGGATTACAGGCGTAAGCCATCGCACTTGGCCTCTTTTGCAAATTTTTATTCATGTTATTTGTCTTCTTATGATAGAGCTGCACAAATTTTAAAAAATATATTCTGAATAAAAGTCCTTAATCATGCATATATTATGCCATATACACATACATACATAAAATAAAAATATTTTCTCCCTGTGTGTCACTCACCTTCCATTTTCTTTCCTTTCTTTTTTTTTTTTTTTTTTTTTTTTTTTTTTTTTGAGACAGAGTCTTACTCTGTCGCCTAGGCTGGAATGCAGCGGCACAATCTCGGCTCACTGCAACTTCCGCCTCTTGGGTTCAAGTGATTCTCTGACCTCAGCCTTCTGAGTTGCTGGGATTACAGGCACATGCCACCATGACTGGCTAATTTTCCTATTTTTTAGTAGAGATAGGGTTAAGCCATGTTGGCCAGGATGCCTGTGAACTTCTGATCTCAAGTGATCTGCCTGCCTTGGCCTCCCAAAGTGCTGGGATTACAGGTGTAAAGCCACCATGCCCAGCCTCACCTTGCATTTCTTAATAGTGTCTTTTGAAATGTAAAAAATGTTAATGTTGATGTAGTCTAATAACAATATTGTCTTTTATAATTCTTGCTTACAACTTTTTAATGAAACTTGAGTGTAACCTGAAGTCCAAGATTTTCTCCTATCTTTTCTTCTACTTTTATGGTTTTAGCTCTTACAGTTAGGTCTATGATGCTTTTAATATTAGTTTGCTAGAGCTGCCATAACAAAGCACCACAAAACTGAGTAGCTTAAACGGCAGAAATTTGTTGTCTCACAGTTCTGGAGGCTAGAAGTCCAAGATCAAAGTGTCTATAGGGTTGGCTCCTTCTAAGAACTGAGACAGAAAATCTTTTCCTTGCCTCTCCCCTAGCTTCTAGTGGTTTGTTGGCAATCTTTGGTATTCTTTAGCTTGTAGAAGTATCACCCTGAAGTCTAACTTCATGTTCACATGGTGTTCTCCCTATGTGCATACCTGTGTCCTAATTCCCCACCCTCCACCCGGGCTTTTTTTTTTTTTTAAAGACAAGGTCTAGCTTTGTCAAGCTCTTGCTTTGTCACCCAGTCTGGAGTACAGTGGCATGATCATGCTTCATAGCAACCTTGAACTCCAGGGTTCAAATAATCCTCCCACCTCAGCCTCCTGAATAGCTAGGACTACAGGTGTGCACCACCACATCTGGCTAATATATTTTAAATTCTTTTGTAGAGATGCAGTCTTGTTTTGTTGCCCAGGTTGGTCTCAAACTTCTGGCCTCAAGCAATCCTTCCACCTTGGCCTCCCAAAGCACCAGGATTATAGGTGTGAGCTACTCTGCTGGTCCTTGATTTCCCTTTGTAATAAGAACACCAATTAGAAACCCACCCTACTCCAGTATAACCCGATCCTAATTACACCTCAATCATCCCATTTTGAAATAAGATTATATTGTTAGGTACTAGGGGTTAGGACTTCAATATATGAATCTGAAAGGGGAGGGACACAATTTAACCTATAACACTTTCCAGATTAATGTTTGTATATTCCACAAGGTCAGAGTCTAGGTTCACTACTTTGCATACAGATGTCAAATTGTTCTAGCAACATTTGTTGAAGACATTATCTTTTCCTCATTGATTTATTTTCATATCTTTGACAAAAATGACTGCCTGCATGGTATATTTTTATTTCTAGATTCTCTGTTCTGTTTCACTGGTGTGTCTACTCTTAATCCAATATCACAGTGTCTTGATTACCGAAGCTTTATAAGAAGTGTTGAAATAGAGTAGGATATATCCTCTAAAACAGTTCTTTTTGAAAACTGATTTGACTACACTAAGTCCTTTGCAATTCCACATAAATTTTAAAATCTGCTTGTCAATTTCTACAAAAATCTTGCAATATAGTTGGGGTGGTGTTGAATCTATAGATGAATTTGGTAAGAACTAACAAATTAATATCAAACTGTCTAATTCATAAACATAAAAATCACTTATTTCGGTCTTTTAAAATTTATCTCCCTAGTGTTTTGTAGTTTTTAGCATACAGATAACATATTTTGTTAAATTTATCCCCAAGTACTTTATAATCTGAAGGTATTATAAATAGTATTTTTTACTTAGCTTTCAAGTGTTCACTGCTGTTGTGAACACTATTGTTAATTTTTGCATGCTGACCTTGTACTGTGTAACCTTGTTAATTAGTTCCAATCACTTTTCTCTAGACTATTTTTCTACAGATAGCATGTTTTTAATATACACAGTTTTGCTTCTTCCTTTCTAATCTATATTATACAGATGAAGTTCTCCAACATAACAATGAATAGAACACTATATGAACACAGACATCCTCACCTTGTTCTCAAATCTTAGTGAAAAAGTATTCAGTCTTTCACCATTAAATATGTTAGCAATAGATTCTTTGGCAGATGTCCTTTATTACACTAAGAAAGTTCCCTTCTGTTCCTAGTTTACTGAGAATTCTACACTCATGAGTGGGTCTCACATTTTGTCAAATAGGTTTTCTGCATCTA